GTTCCCGCAGGCAACAGCCCGCAGGACTGCGCACCCCTCACACATGTGCTCTCGTGCTCCTCGGGGCCAGGCGGCCCCCCAGCATCCTCCTTCCTGGGCCCCCTGCTGACAGCCTCCCTCAGCTGCTGGGCAGGCCCTCTCCTGCCCTCAATGCCCAAGCTCACCACCCCACCCCTCTGCTGGGGAGTTCCCTCCTTCCTCCCCAGGGGTTAATGTCCCTGAATAGGATAGTCTCCAGCCTGGGACAAGTTTCTCTGAGCTCAGGGTAGCAACCACAGAATACCTGCCCCACCTCCACACTTCTGTCCCCACGTAGGGCACCAAGCCCAGGCCTGGAGCCGCACAGCCCAGCATCAGATTTTGTCTCTCCCTCCTATACTGTGGGACCTGAGACAAGTTACTTAGGACTTCCTAAGTCCTAGTTTCCTCTGCTAAAAAAAGAAAAAAAATAACTGCATTCTTGTGAGGATTAAATAAGATAACATATGTGAAGCCCCTGGTGTTGTGCCAACCCCAAGGAAGGTACTTCCCTCACCAGTCTAAAGAGACTATAGGTTTTTGTTTCAAGCCCCAGGGACTTTCCAAACTGCACCATCTTCCTGAAATTATAAAGGTCTTACGAGTGGCTTTAGTGGTGGTCCAAGTGCTACTCACGCCCATGTTGTAAGTGAAGACATAAGGCTTATAGAAACATGACTTATATCAATAACGGGACTGATCTCTGGCTTCACTCCCATCCTTTAAGCTTTCTGCCTCCAGCCAAAGCCAGAGGATAATCCCAGTGATGTTCTCAGGGTCCCCATTGGCTCGGAGGTGAGACTGAGCCCTGAGGCATGGGCTGGCCAGAGGGCAGAGAAGGAGGACTGCAGGACAGAGCCATGCCTCCTTCCGGAGTCCTGAGCAATTCAGCTCCGGCCCCAGACTTGCATTCCCACTTAGCAAAGCCAGAGCTCTGCAGAGAACCAGATCCCCCCATACACTCCTCCTGTTGCCACTGAGAAGGCAGACTAATGCCCATCTGTGGTGCCTTTCAGACATCTGGGGATTCAGCCCCCACCCATAGTGAGTGATCAAAAGATTTCTCCCAACCACATGCTGTACTCTCTCTTTGAAAGGCTCTCGTGTCACTGCAGGCTCTTCACCTCATGACATTTCTGTAGCACAGACCAGAGCAGGGTAGCCTATAAATCTGGCTCTTTATCCTGGCTTTGCATCCTTATCACATGAAATCACGGCCAACAGGATCAACAGTGCTAAGGCCTGAAGGACAGTGCTGAAACATGCCCATCCACAGGAGGACAGGAGTCCTGGAGGACGAGCTAAAGCTGGCTGCCAAGGACAGCAGAGGTCACGTTCCTGGTGTTTGTTCATCAGGGGAGAGGAGGCTAGGGCACGGGCAGGAAATGGGGCAGCACGGGGAGATCCGGCCAGAAGAGAGAGCCAGACATGCCAGGAATCAAGCAGATGGGTAGAGAAACACTGAAAAGGCTGCAGGGATATGGGAAGGAGGGGCATTGCTGGGGACTGATGAGCAGGAACATTTCCAGACTCACCTTCCTCATCCCTCCTGTAGTAACAAAGCTGCCCACCCACCCCACCCACCTGTCAGCAGGTGTTTGAGGGACAGGAGGCCTGGGAAGAGACAGAGACCGGGGCAGGGAATTCAGGGCTGTGTGCTCCCACGCCCAGTGCTTGCACTTCCTTAATCCCAGAGACAGGAAGCCAGGAACCAGGGCATGTAAGGGCACCTGAGTGCACTGTCACTCCCTACCTCAGCACCCGATCGGGCAGGGGTAGGCCACGGGAAGGAGATACCCCCCACGGGGCTCTGCATGGGTTCCCTGTCTCTCTCCAGATAAGCAGGGGCCAGCGGTGTCCTGCTCCTCAGTACCATGCAGCCTAATCTTCAGGAGTCACGCCATTTACTCCCTCCATGAGTACTCGCTTGTCCACATGCAGTATATATGCACTCACTGCTGTGGTTCATTCATTCATTCATTCATTCATTCATTCCTTTAGGGAGGCAGTAGAGTATTGCAGCTAAAAACACACGCTCTGGAGCCAAACTGCCTGGCTGAAATCCCAGCTCCACCAGCTGATAGCTGTGTGACCCTGGACAGGTTACTTAATCTCTCTGTACCTCATCTGTAAAATAGGGATAATATTAATAACTACTTCATTGGAATATTGTGAGGTTTAACTAAGTTAATAAATGTCAAGTGCTTAGAATGGCTGACATATGATAAAAGCTAAATAAGTACCAGCTGCTGCTATTATTTGTTCAAAAAGTTAGTTTATCAAGAAGTTGTTGAGCACTAACTATTAGCTAGATGCTGTTCCATGCCCTAGGATCCTCTGGTGAGCCATCCAGACATGGCCTCTACTCTCAGGGAATCTACATCTTAGTGGAGGAGACAGACATTCAATAATCGTGAAAAAAAACACTACATATTTACAAATTGTGACAAGGGCTCTAAAGATAAAGAACAGAGAGCTCTGTCACAGGGGCTGCCCAGGTGCAGAGGCCAGAAAAGGCTCCTTTGGGACTGATGTGCATCTCCCTCGTCCCTGGTGAGTCTGGCCACCCTGGGCGCACCCTCACCATCAGCAGGCCCACCAAGGACAAAGCCCGTGGGCACCCTCCACGGTCCTGGCCACATACCTACTTGCTGTCGGTGTGAGAGGCCCAGGCAGGGCTGCCTCCTCACCGCCCAGCCAGCCAGCACCGGCACCCCACCTCTGGACCAGGGGTTCTGCTCCGAGTCCTCACATTGTCCAATCCAGAGCACACACTCTTCCTGTGCAATTTCCTGGCACAGTTTGGCCACTCTGAAGGGCCCGGCTGTTGGTCAGGCATCCTCCCTGCCTGCTCGCCTAGATGGCCCCACATCTGGCCTCCAGCCAGGAGGGTGAAGCAGGGTTGTACTAGGTACCTTATAGCTCAGTTGGCCAATGTTTTCAGTTATTTCATCAATCACCACAACTGCATCAAGTTGGTATTAGTAGTAGTGCTAGTAGTAGTATTACACCTATTTTGTAGATAAAGAAACTGAGGCTCTGAAAGGTTAAGCCACTTTCCCAAGGTCACACAGCTTATTAATAGAACAGCTAGGACTCCAAACTAGGTCTGCTTGACTCCAGACCCTGCAGTCTTAAAACAACATAATATGGTCTTTCTAGTAACATGAGTAATAATTAATATAATAGCTAATAGTTATATAACACTTTCTTTGGGGCAGCTATCACTGTATACATTTACATATTTATTTATATCACAATCTCCATGGCAACGCTGTGAGGTAGATAGGACTGTTATTCTCATTTTACAGGTGAGGAAACCCAGGCACAGAGAAGGCAGGCCACGAGCCCAAGGCCAGTCCTATGAATCACGATGACAGCCACAGGGCGGTGGGGCTGGCAACAGCCGTAGCAGCCGGAGGCCGGAGACCCAGGGGACGAAGGGAGGGGCTCACGGCTGCCCGTGGAGCTGCCTGGAACCTGAGCAGAGCCTATGCCCTCCCACGCTGCCTCTCCTGCCCATCTGTTTCCAGGCATCCAGGAGCCTAGGCTCCCGGGGACTTGGCCCTCCCTGCCCCCTCTGGCTCACCTGCTGGCCAGGGCATGGCTGCCGCCCAGTCAGGTTCTGTCTTCCTCCAGGGCTTGACACTCCAGCTTGCCCTGGAGCTGCCCCTGGCAGGGAAGTGGGAAGCCCTTCCAGCTGGCCAGGGTGATGGGGAAGCCCGGAGGGAGAGGACGCAGGTGCCGGGGCAGGCCTCGCAGCCCACTGCAGGCAAGGCGACCTGCCCTTGTTGTGCTCCCTCCACCACCTCCGCAGCTCGATCCTCCAGAGGTCTTGAGTCGTGAACAGAGCCGAGCATGAAGAGAAAGGGGCCTGCAGGGCCCGGCTGAGAAGGTCCTGAGGACCAGACGCTGACTCTAGTGGTCCCCGGAGCCCGGGAAACAGGGCCTGTGGGGCTGGAGGGGACTGCGGGGGCTCTGAGGTGGGGCCCCCTCCCAGTTGCTCAGAAGCATCTAGACGAGGCCTTGTGCTGAGCTGGCATGTTTCTGCCTCCCAGCTGGACCACAAAATGGGAAGAAACATCCATAAAGTTCCTGAGTCGCCTCTGTGGCGGGCAGCCCTGCCAAGGGGCTGTTGGTTCCCCTTCTAATTGGTCTGAATTTCCACGATTTGCAGGTCCCAGGCTTGCTGAGGGCCTGTTCCCCATTGTAATGGGTAGGCAGCAACAGTCGGACTGGTGAGCCAGCCCCCACAGGCTCTGGGCTGTTCCAGCAGGGTCCTGGGGGCTGCAGGGCAACCCAGGCCCCCACCCGGGTGAACCCAGAGTCCCGGGCCCTAAGCCCACCAGAGCACGAGCCCCTTCTCCCAGTTAACCTTTGCAGAAGAAGGCCCCAGCCTTCAGACAGCAGTAGGATGTGGAAAGAGAACAAGCTTTGTACCAGGGCTCAGACTGGAGGCCTGTCACATCCTCCTGAAAGCCTCTCCCAGGTCTGGCACATGGTAGGTGCTCAAGAAACACAAGGGGCCCCACTGCCTGGCTGATCTAGGGGGTGCCTGGCCTTTATCGTGTGAAACTAGGATGTCTACCGCCTGCTCTTTGGTTCTGCTTTTGTCACATGACTTAGGTGCCACTCTGGAGTCAGGCAGCCTTCATGTGAATCCAAAATACAGTACTACTGGCAAGGTAGTCTTGGGCAAGTTCATTAGCTTCTCTGTGTCTCCGTTTCCTTATTTTTAAACAGGGGTAATAACACTACCTACCTCACTGGTCCAGTATACGAAGAAGTTCAAGTATGTTGTAGTATCAGAATAATGGACCCCAACGATGCCCATGTCCTAATTCCTGGGGCCTGGGGATATGGTCCATTACATGGCAAAGGGGCTTTGCAGATAGTACAGCCCCTGAAATGGAGAGATTATTCTGGATTATCTAGGTGGACCCAACCTAATCACATGCGTCCCTATAAGTGGAGCACCTTACCTGGCTGGGCTGGAGAGAGAGATGTGACCACAGGAGAAGCATCAGAGACTTGCACCCTTGCTGGCTCTGAAGATGGAGGAAGGGGCTGCCAGCCAAGGAATGCAGACCTCTGGAAGCTGTAAAGGGTAAGGAAATGGAATCACCCCTAGATCATCAGAAAGGGGGCAGGTCTTCCTACACCTTGATTTTCAGCCCAGCAAGACCGTGTCAGACTTCTAACCTACAAACCTATAGGATAAATTTGTTTTGCTTTCAACTACTAAGCACGTGGTCGTTTGTTACAGAGACAATGGAACACTGGCACAGGTCAGTATAGAAGCCTTAGAACAGTGTCCTGCACATAGTCAGAGCTCAGGAAATGTTAGCTTCTCATTGTCGTCCCCGTTGTCGTCATCACGTTGTTGTAATGCAGGGTGGAGGACACACTGCTGCCTCCACCCCAGGGCAGCTGCCTCTACCCCAGAGCAGCTGCCTCCACCCCAGGGCAGCTGCCTCTCTAGTGTAAGTTGCTCAGAGCCCATATCTCACTTCAGTGAGTCTTAGAAACTGAATGTAGGGTAGCCAAGGAATAGAGAACATCCTCACAACAGAATGCCATTTGGCACAGCCACCCGGTGGGCAAAAGACAGAGGGAAACCCTCTGCAGTCTCTCTTTTAAAGAACAGGAGTGGGGGGCGGCACCCCAGAGGGTGGGGTGGGCCTGGCCCAGGCAGGAGGGCACACCTCTAGCTGTCCCTGCAGAGATGATGGCTCCGGGGCTTATTGGCACTCTCTTCCATCCCTACACAACTGGGGCTGCTGAGGAGACAGAGTGGCCAGGAAACTAACTCTGGGCCATTCGAATGGTTTGGCATCCAAAACTAGTACCTGCTCTGCAGTGTGGGACAGAGGGACAGAGCAGGACCTGCAGCAGGAATGGCTTTGAGTCACACAAGAGGGGCACCTTCTCTTGCGAAAGGGCACCGAATGCCAGATTCACATTTGGATTTCCTGGGAAGATCCACAGTAAGGGGAGGGCCACCTCGCCTCCTGAGCGGCTGTGTGCTGAGGCGGGGACAGGGAGGGCAACAAAATGGGCTCCCGAGGCCCAGTCTGGCATCAGCAAGTCCCCCTCACAGAACAAGGCCCCTCATTCTCACGCACTCCCCCAAACAACTGAACGTGAGGCTTTGATCCCCACAGAAAGCCAGCCTGCACTGCAACCCTTCCTCACTTGCAGAAGCCTTTCACCCCTCACTTCCTCCTTAGTGACCCGCACAGTCTCCCTGGCTACTGGGGGCCTCAGGAATCTGTCCCTCCTAGATCGCTTCTCAAAAGCCAAGGCGCCCACGTTAGAAGCCTGTCAGAGGTTTCCATTCTAGAGTCAGACCCTTCACCCCAGACGACACTGAGCCAGAGCGTCCACCGAGTCCACAGACCTCCCCCATCGGGGGCCCAGGCCATTGCCCCAACCTATGGACAGAAGCATGTTAGACTGTAACTCCCTGAGGGCAGGGTCCACACCTGTCTGTTCACGAGAGGGCTTGGCCCAGAGGGGACCTCCATAACCATTTGTTGGATGAGGGAACAGCCTCTAAAAGTCTACAGCCTCTCAGGAGGCCCTGCAAAAAATCCTACCCTTCCCATCTCCCTCTAATGGGGAGCCCAGCAGAAAGAGCCACCCCAAAGAGACCAGCTACTTTGGGGTGACTGGACCCTGGCTTGGGGGACAGGGAGGGCCACTGCTCCCAGCAGCCCAGGGCCATCTGGGCGGCTCACGGTCAGCTCAGACCTGCCTCCCTCCCTCCCCACTCAGACCTGACACCACAACCTCCCTTTTTATCTGAAGGTCAGCTCTCTGCTGCTGTTGGCCCATGGCTCCCTGCTCACCCAGCTCTCCTGGGGGGGTTGTGGGCCATGGAACCTCTCCTCATTCATCTCGCCATCCCCCGACCCACAATCTCATTCCCCTTACCACCCCGCCTCTGATTCCAGTCATGGGGAGCCAGTCTGCTTGGGGACCTTGTGGGACCCTCTGTGTTCCCTCTGCGCAGATTAGAAAACCGTGCCTTTTTCTCAAGGGGGTGCAGGCCACCCCCCTGGGATTCATGGCCTGGTAAGAAGAGCGTAGGCTGGATTTCAGCCCCGTCCACCACTCGGCCAAGTGTCCTTGCACCGGGTACAGCCTGCCTGGCTGCCCACAGCAGCCCTGCTTGACAGACCTCGGAGACTGCACCCATTGAGGGGGTCTCACAGAACACTAGGTCCTAACCTCTCATTTTACACATGAGGATGGTGGGGGCCCAGAAGGGCAGGGTGATCTATCCAAGACCACACACCACGCTGGGAGCAGCCCCAAGGCCAGTGACCCAGCTTTCCTGATCCCAATCTCGTGCTTATTCCCTCACCCTACTCCACTCAAGTGTCACTCCTGGGGACAGATGGCAAAGACAAGACAGCAGGGGAGCCTCTGAGGGCAGCGCCTGGGGAAGCCTTCTTGCACTAATTAGAGGAGAAGTGATAACCTCGTTCTAAACTCTGTTGAGACATAAAACTGAGCATAAAAGTCTCTGAACCATGAGCTACCTAACCCTTGGCTGGTGTGCAACATAAATACAGATCTTCCCCATTTATTTCCGGCCTACCAACCACATGCATCCCAGGCTACTCCATGTGAGCACGTCCCCTAATGTCTGTCTAGGCCAGCACATCTGTCTTGGTCTGGAAAACTCCCAGAGGGAGTTTCTTGCTTTAGGAGAACTGCAGAACACAAGGGCTCAGAAGGTGGCTTTTAAGTTAGGTGTAGGGGGTGGCAATGGTGAGGGGAGGACCAGGAGGGGGGCAGGAGGTGAGGGCAGAAGAGGAAGAAGAAGGGGGACTGCTGATGCCTTAGTTTCTTGTGCAGGATTCCCACTTGCCTATAACACCACTGAGCCACACACATACACCTGCTCACACACTCTCTCTCACCAACTCACTCCCTGGGTTGGTGTCTGGGATACATTGTGGTAATTGAGCTCACGCGGAGTCAAACCTTGTTTTGAATCCCGGCTTTGCCACTTTGGCTGTGAGATGTTAGGCAAATGCCTTAAATTCTCTGTGCCTCAGTTTCCTCTTCAATAGGATAACCAGAAGCATGACTTCATATGAAGATTATGAGAGTCAATATATGTGCATCATTTAGCAGAGTCCCTTGCCACCAGCAGGTGGTTGGTAAACACTGGCTCTAACTCTATTAGAGTGCTGTTTCTTGACACCAGATTCCGGCCCTCTTTTACTGCAGCTGGAGGCAGGGGTTGTGCATTATCTAGGCTGCCTGGTAGTGTCCAGCTTGGTATTCCAACCACCAGTGTAGGGATGGACTGCCTTGGGAAGCAGTGAGCAGTCACCAGGAGGAATCAAGCAGAATTCACACTAGCATTTGGCATGGATGGGGCAGAATGGGAGGGGCACCAGTGCAGAAAGGCCTCATCCAACGTCCCATCCAACCGCAAGAGCCTGTGAATATGTGAATAAGCCCACATCTCCAGGCACCCATGTGGACACACACTTGCCCACAAATGGGGATGCACTTACAAGGGTACACTCCCCACCCAAGTTTTGGAGACTAGGAAGTGGTGTTTTAAACCAGCTCCCCCACTAGCCCTCCCCTGGCACCCCGCCAGTTGGTGTGTACACACGGGCATCCAGGTGGCAGGCAGGAGCTCTGAGGGAGGCACCAGGCAGGATTTCAAGGAGCCTGTTTCCTACCACTCCCAGTTCTCTTTCTACAGGCACCGACTGCCAGATGATCCCCATCCCTCCACTGCAACCCAGCTCTGAGGCAGGGTGGGAGGGACCAGGAACCGGCACGGTAGTAAGGTGTTGGTTCTACCAGCAGGTGGATGAGAGGGAGCCCGGGGCAGTCCCGGCAGCGCGAGCCTCTAAAGAGTCAGGGCACCTCGAATTGGGATGCTGTGAGAGGCAAGGACTTGCCCCTGTCACAGAAGGGATGGGGCAGGAGTTTGCAGAAGGGTCAGAAGTCCCACCTCCAGCCAAGCTCGAGTCCAGTCCCACCCTCTACGGGTGGAATAAGAAGGGAGGTTGCAGGAATCCGTGCTCCAAAACTATTCCTGTCCCTGCCTTCTTCGCTCTCCCACCTCACCTCACACAGGCTGCCAACACTTCCTCTGGGTGCTGTGTGCCGTCTATTAGCCGTTTTATGAGAGGACGGAGTGCTGATAAACCATAGCTGCATATTCAAACCCTCCTATCAGCCCCGGATGCATTACTGCGTATTATTTGTCTTTGCAGCAGCTGCGACAGCAGTTCTTCCTAACAATATTGGCTTCGGCTGGTATTAAAAAGGGCCCCTAAGTGCCACGAACATCTTTACTAGGAGAAGAGACCACGCTGCGGAGGAGGGGAGGTAGGCCAGCCTCTGGCGTGAACCATTTGCTGCGGATTCATCCAAGGGTGAATGCAAAAATTAGGCCTGGGGTTGGGCGGTGGCAGGGGGTGCAGAGCAGAGCTCTCCCCAGGACCAGTACACCCAGCCCCTTGCTGCCTAGAACCGCCCCTCCGCCCCACCCCACCTCTCACCCAGCAGGGCGCTGGGCACCGCAGGAGGCTAGGGGCGGTAGTGTGTGGTGTGAGTGTGTCCGGGCTCGCGGCTCCTCCAGCTACCCTACCACAAGCCAGCTACTCTTCCCGATCAATGGCCTCTTTGTGGCAGAGGAAGGACGGGAACGACAACACGAAGGTGGGGGAGGGGGTGGGAGGCTGCCTCGCGGGTGCCCGGGCTCACAACCCCGACTTGCCGCCGTCGAGGTTAGGGCTCCTCGGAGCCCAGGCGGGGTACGCTGCCCCGTAAGGTCTCCACACTCTCTGGACGTAGAGAAAGAGGCCGAGGGGGCAGTGGCCGGAGCCTCCCCTACTCCGCAGTGGGACTTTCGCCCGCCCCGCAGCCCTGGGAAGATGCGGACGCGCCTCCCCGGCCCCACGCCCGCTAGGTGGCGCTGGGCAGCCGCGCTCCTCCCACCCGCGGGCAGGCGCAGGAGCCGCCCAGGCGCCCAGCTGCGCTGGGGCGGCAGGTACCTCGTCAAGGACCCGCAGAGGTGGCGGAAGGAGA